ACAAAACTAACTGTGGGTGCCGACAGAATCCGCACCCACACATGCTTCCTGGAATGTGCGGTGCATGCGTCCCTACTTTGTTTCCCTTCTCCGCTGGGAGTTCCACTTGTCTGCCCCCTTGGGAGACGCACTGGACGACTCTGCTCCCACCTAGGCCCTGTTCCTCTGCCTTTTAGAAAGGAGTAGCTCGCCCTCGCAAAGAAACCTTGCTCTACGCCCTGGCACCTCCACCTCTAAAGGCGAAGTCTAAGTGCGACCCGGCCGGGTGCTGCGGCGTCTGTCCCTGGGCCGGGTGCACTGCAGGCGGATGGGATGGATTCTGGGAGTTTCGACTTCTGCTCCCTGGATTCTGGGTCTCGCAGTCTGGAAATTGCGGAGGTCGAAAGAGGCTGGGTGTTTGTGTGGGAGACTGCTAGACCCGACCTTTCTCCGCCCTCTTTGAGCACCCGTAGACCTGGCCAAGTGGGTCATAGAATCATGCCTACAGCCAGGCCCAAGACATCTGGGCGCTATCGGCAAATCTCTCAGGAAGATGGTAATAAAAAGGGCCCTGCCCGACACACAAGCATTTGGAGAGCGGAAGAATCGATCCAAATAAACATTCGAAATTGGGTGCTTGGGGGTTTCTGGACCGGGAGGGGAATAGCAGACACCAGGAGAAGTGTAAAATTCGCAGCTACCCCTCCTCCACATGTCCCCCAATGCTGTTCCTAGCCAGATTTTCTTCAGTAATTTGAAGTTTGTAGCGAGGCCTCTGTGGCGTGCAGGCTGGTGCACTTCCATCCTTTCCTCCCATCACGCCGACACCCGTCGAGCCCATCAGTACGCACACTTAGAATCCTCTGCCCAGGATAACTTAGCACTTACATTACAGGGTGAAACAGTGGTCAGTTTCAGACCCAACTAAGAACAGCCTTTCTTCCTCCTGGGCCCAGGCGGAAGGAAGGGAGGGGTAACGCGGCACACGAACTAGCCCAGGACTTGTAGTAAATTATCCTAAACATGATCGATGCAGATGCGTCTCTCCTGCCGCTAACTGGTTTAGTCTAAGCTATTTCATGTAAAACCCACGAAGCAGAGGAAGCAGGCTAAGAACATAAAATTTAAACCGCAATAATGAAGAGATTTCCTAGAATAAAACGCCGATTACAGAACAAAATCGGAGAAACCCAAGCTTCCCGGAGTTTACATTCCCCTGCTCTCGGGCAGGGGTGGGACCTAAGGGTTTGGAGCAGGAAAGGAACCCACAGCCCAGATGGAGAATGTCAACCAAACCAGAATGGAGAAAGGGCTGGTCGGCCAGGAGCTGTATATTTCGGTTAATCAAGAAGCAGCTGGGCTGATCTAGAATCATTTAAATGAACTATACCTTTCCTTCCCGTAAGAAAAAAATCAAGATTTTTGTAGTTTATAGAGAGTGAAAGTCAGTGGAGAAGAGCTCACCACCATAAGGGACCTCCTACAGCCAAAACTGAACAAAGGCAAGGCTGGATCAGAGACAACAACTTCCCTTTAACCTTGTCTGCTGGATAGGGGTACAGCTTAGCCTGCATTCAATCCCCAGCACCACAGACGAATGGATGGATAGATGATGTTAGATAGATAGATAATAAATAGAAAAATAAATAAATCCTGCCTCCTAGCCAGAAGTTAGCCTCTCTTGCCAAGGAGAAACTGTTTGACATAATTTGTTACCATGTGCATTCTTACCCAGTGGATTTGTACACACTAGTGATGAAAACACCACATCCCAGAAAGGTTTTGCTATAATGTGGTGAATGGAGCATTGAATTTAGAGTCCCAGGCCCCCACTATAGGTCAGCTGTGTCACTTGTTCAGGAATGATTTGTGCCAAGTCATCTTGGGCAGCCTCTGCCAGGGAAACAGACAGAAGTAGAGTCTCTAAGAAAGAGAAGAGAGCCCTTCCTGCTAAATAATTTAAGAAGGTCACAAAGCTCCTATCTTCCTGGAGTTCTGGGCTGGAGAAAAAGCAGGCTTCAACAGCAGGCCTCATATAGTCCTAACTGCTCTCCAATTTCCTGGGGGCGGGAAATAATCCTCAACAAATTGTAAGATTTCTCATGAGTATAGAATGCTTAAGTAAAATGAGTAACATTGTTACTTGGATGGAGAAGGTAGCCTTTAAAAAATCCCTCATAATTTAACCAGTTGAATTGTTAGAGGGTAAAAATATGTAGAGTGGGTATTTTTTAACAAGAGTTATCTGCAAAAACCCTAAAGTCTCAGGCAAGTTGGAAGTTATTTTTGTTTTTTGTTTTTTTGAAGATGGGCTCTATATCTTCTGCTATCAATGCTGAGAGCTATTAATCCAGAAGGTTATTCTAGCCCTGCTAGAATAAAGGGTTAGTGCCTTCTATTCTTCAGTCTTGAGAGTCCTGCAACCTTTTAGGTCAGCTCCTAAAGCAAGCACCCCCAGGACTTGTTTTAACATCTAGAATTCCCAGGTGCAGATAATCAGAGGGCCCACAGTCAAAGTGACAAGGATACCAACTCACTAAATGTTTCCCCAATCTATCTCCTACAACCCCCTCCTACAAGTGCATGATTGTTTTCCTTCTCTCTACCTTCTCCCTGGTTCCGATGCTCCTCCACTTAAAACACAGACACACACCTATTCACACAGACACTCTGAAGTCCGTGGGGCTCCTCTTGAATACTACCATCCTCCCAGCCCATTTCCATTTAATGTATTATTTTCAGACTCTGAGAGCATTGATTTAGTGAGCGTATGCTGTAGTGAGTCACTTATTTAAAAATTATTCCATGCAAAATGACAAATGAAGAATAAAGAAAAATAGCATGAAATAAATGAGAACCTGTCCCCCCAAAATGCTCACCAGTCAATCAGAAAGAAATTCTTAGAAAGTAGGAACTGCAACACCCCCACCCCCACCCAACCCAATCAAAACAACCCCTCCGGAAAAGAGCGACTTGTTTCTTTTTTCTCTTGGAAATGAGTGGTAAACTGAGTTCGGCTTGGTGATGTTTTCTTAGCTGACTCTCAGCTACAATCAGGCCATTTTCGGACACATTCCCATGTAGGTACCAGGGGTGCTCTGGAGGAAGCTGTCGACGCCTGTTCAGCTAATTTAGGTTTTCTTTGTCTAATTACTGTGGAGCTTAGGGAAAAGGAGCCGGCTCGGGGCAGTAAACTGACACTCGGTCTCCGTGTGTGGTATCCAGGCAGGGTTTGATGGAAAAAGCCTGCTTCCACTCAACTTCAGGTCACTGTCTGGGGCCAGCCCCAGCCCAGCCCCCTCCTCTTCTCCACCCCGCCCTTTCCTTCTCTCCACAGACCGACCAGCGCTCATGGCCAGGCCCAGTCCCCCACCGCTCCAGGGGCTCCAGGAGCTGCGGTAGCCCCAAGGGGCTTGCCCTGTTCTGCTGCACCAAGGCTGAGTTCTTTATCTGGGTCCCTGTGAGATTCCCCCACCACTTTCCCTTGCCCCTAATCTCCCCCAGGCTTCCCAGTACAATAGCCTTGCGGCTAGCTCCTTTCAGCTTGTACGCTGTGGTGGGCCTAGCTTGGCTTCCAGTTGGTTCCCTATTGGGCAGCACTTTCCCTCTGGGCTTCTCCATCAGTCCTTGTGTGGCCCGGCCTGCTCCCAGCCTCCTGCTCTCCTCCCTCTTCCCAGCCCCTATCCCTCGTCAGACTACATTTCCCTGCACGTGTAATCCAATAACTAACTGTCGGGTCTCATTGGAAGTGATTTCTCCCGAGGGCACCTCTCTCCCAGAGCCCGACTCTTACAGAGAGGGCTCAGCCACAACTGGGATGGCTGTTCTTGGACAGAAGTTAGCTTAGCCATGACACAGTTTTGGTGGACAATGCTGACAATGAAGATATAAAGCTACTGCCAGCTGCACACTCCCCAGGGTTGAATATAAATACAGCTATCTCCTTATCTCAGGGTGGGCCTTCTTGTTTCTCTCTCTCTCTTTCTCTCCTTCTCCTCTCCTCTCCTCTCCTCTCCTCTTTTCCTTCTTTTTTAAATAAACCATGAAGTGGAAAACGAAAAGGAAATGGAAGCAAATGCAAACATGAATCCTATTCATCCAAGATTTCCAGAGCCTCTAAAACTTGGCCCAAGTTTCTCCATCAAAACCCCTTTGCTCAAAGTTCAGAAAACGATCTCCCCGAGGGCTAAAATCCTGGGGCGCCCGGCGCTCGCCCTCTCTGAACAACTGTCCGAAGCCTGCAGGCCCTGCAGAAAAAGAGAGGATTGGCACGTTACCTTGGGGCGTCTGGCACCCTGGAGTGTGGCTGAGGGCGGCAATGTCTAAATGAAGTTGACAGATGGTGTCAGTTCGGGCACTAAGGACGGCGGCTAAGGAGGGTACCCGCGGCGGCACCCGCAGCCCGAACCACTCGGCGGGGGCAGGGCGGGGAGGAAGAAGGGGGAGAGGGAGGGGAGAAGAGGTGGGTCCACTCCGGAGGATGGGGGTGGATGGTGGGGGTAGCGGATCATTTCTAGGTTGGGAAGTTGGGGCTGCTAGAAGACGCAAAGAACCAGTTCGCAAAGTCATAGGCAGACCGTTTTGCTAAGAGTGGGAGTCCTCCTACCAAAATGTGAGTTGGTGTGTGATCCCTCCGTTTGAAAGAGGGTGGGTGGGGAAAGGGACCCGGGCCCAGAAAGGAATTAAAAAGGCGAGAAGGACCTTGGAGAGCGAGGCAAGAGATAAGGGAACCAGCCAGCCGCCAGGTTGGGAGGGGGAGGAGAGAGCGGCGGCCCCAGCGCCCTCCCCACAGCGGGCGGCGCGGAGCAAGGAGGGGGCAGGGCGGGATAGGGGTGGAGGGAGGGAGCGAGGGAGGGAGGACGGCCGCGGGGAGGGCGCGGGAGGGAGGAAGTCCGAGAGACAGAGCGAAGAGCGCTCCTGAAGGGAGACGTCAGGCTGGTCCCCGGGGTCCCGGCCACGGTACCAGCTTGTGGGCGCAGCTGCCCGGCGTCCGGCCGCTTCGCATCCGCCGCCTGGGAGGTGGTTGCGCAAGGCAAGGACCCGAGGCTCGGGATAGGGATGCGCCGGGCGTTGCCTCTAGCCCGCCGCCGCCGCCGCCGCCAGAAGCCCCAGAGGAGCTGAGGGAGGCGACGCCGAAGCGCTGGCCCGGAGTGGCCACGGCTGCAGCCCGGGCGGCGGGCTAAGGCACTCGCCCGGCTTCTGGGCCGACCCCGCTCCGGCGCCTCCGCTCCCGGTCCAGGGTCTGCGCCCGAGGCCCGGCCTCGCTCCGGGGTCCCAGATGACCACCGAGGGCGGGCCGCCGCCGCCCCCGCCGCGCCCGCCGCCAGCCCCGCTCCGCCGTGCATGCAGTCCGGTCCCCGGCGCGCTCCAGGCCGCCTTGATGAGCCCGCCGCCCTCCGCCGCCGCTGCCGCCCTGGAGACCACCTCGTCGTCCTCCTCCTCCTCTTCTTCTGCCTCCTGTGCCTCCTCTTCCTCCAACTCGGCCAGCGCCTCCTCCGCTGCCTGCAAGAGTGCCGCCGGCGGCAGCGCCGCGGGCGCCGGGAGCGGGGGCACCAAGAAGGCGAACTCGGGGCTGCGGCGGCCCGAAAAGCCGCCCTACTCGTACATCGCGCTTATCGTCATGGCCATCCAGAGCTCCCCGAGCAAGCGCCTGACGCTCAGCGAGATCTACCAGTTCCTGCAGGCGCGTTTCCCTTTCTTTCGGGGCGCCTACCAGGGCTGGAAGAATTCCGTGCGCCACAACCTCTCGCTCAACGAATGCTTTATCAAGCTGCCCAAGGGCCTCGGGCGGCCCGGCAAGGGCCATTACTGGACCATCGACCCGGCCAGCGAGTTCATGTTCGAAGAGGGCTCATTTCGTCGCCGGCCGCGCGGCTTCAGGCGGAAGTGCCAGGCGCTCAAGCCAATGTATCATCGCGTAGTGAGTGGCTTGGGCTTCGGGGCCTCTCTGCTGCCCCAAGGCTTCGACTTCCAGGCGCCCCCGTCGGCGCCGCTCGGCTGCCACGGCCAGGGCGGCTATGGCGGCCTCGACATGATGTCCGCAGGCTACGATGCGGGCGCGGGGGCCCCGGGCCACGCGCATCCTCACCACCACCACCACCACCACCACGTCCCGCACATGTCGCCCAATCCGGGCTCCACCTACATGGCCAGCTGCCCCGTGCCCGCAGGCCCCGGGGGCGTCGGTGCGGCAGCGGGTGGCGGCGGCGGCGGCGGGGACTACGGGCCGGACAGCAGCAGCAGCCCAGTGCCCTCATCCCCGGCCATGGCGAGCGCCATCGAGTGCCACTCGCCCTACACGAGCCCTGCGGCGCACTGGAGCTCGCCTGGAGCCTCGCCTTACCTCAAACAGCCGGCAGCCCTGACGCCAAGTAGCAACCCTGCGACCTCTGCAGGCCTGCACTCCAGCATGTCCTCCTACTCCCTGGAGCAGAGCTACTTGCACCAGAACGCCCGCGAGGACCTCTCAGGTAAGGTACCGCACCACGCCGGGCCAGCAGGGATATGCCTCCTTTAAGCCTCCAAGCCCATTGGCAACTCCCTCAGGGACGCTGGGGTCTGAGGTGCTGTATGGAAAGCATGCTGCGGGGAGCTGGCTCCTTATTCATAGATATGAGGGGGGGAGAGGATCCGGGTCTTCCTGCCCTCCCTGGCTTCCCGGATCGGGAGCCTGTCCTCCAGAATTGGTTGGAAGTCAAGGCCTTCCTAGCCTCTGAGGGTATTCCTACAAACTTCTTCCAGTTGAGACCTGACTTAGCTTTAAGAGAAGTCGTGTGGCCTTAGGGACCTTAGACAAGGAACTGCATCCTGCTCCTTTTGTCCTGTTTTTTTTTTTAAGTTTGTTTTGCTGTATTTTGTTCTAAAGTAAATGTCAAAAGGAGAGATGTCCTGTACCCTGGGGTGTGAGTGGAGAAGGTTCTTGGCTGAGCAAGTGTTGAGCCGACAGATAAGGGAAGGGCAGAGAGAAAAGCAACCTGAGAGACAGTGCCAGTGTACAGGAGTCTAAACAGACACACACAGTGGACCATGTTGATGACACACAAGTCCATCCTGGGCAGAAGTTGAGGGCCCTGTTGTGACTCCCATGAGAAATGTGCTTGAAGGCCACTTGTAGTGTGGCTGGTTTAAATTGTGTGGGCTGCAGAGTATGAAAATTTATTGACTGTGGAAAGTGGCGAAAGGTGGGAGGGGAGAAGAGGGTGAAGGAGAACAGTAGAGTATTTGGCCAGCTTTATCTGGAGAGTGGAGATAAACCCTTATTAACCCCTGGGAGGCTTCCATAGGGTACAGATTTAAATTGGGGGAGCCTGCCTGTCAAAGGCAAGGCTCAAAGGTGCTGCCCCTCACATTTACCTCCCACCCTAATTAGGAAGATGCCTACTTTATATGTTCCTGACTGCCTGTGTAGCGAGAGCATGGGGGAGAAGGGAAGCCCAGAAATGGGCAAAAGATGTTGGTTCCCTGAATAGAGAAATTTCCCAAATAGGCCTTTTAAATGTGGGTCTCAGAGGTTAACTAAACAAAGACAGTCTCGGCAGGACCACACCGGAGAGGATTTTAGCCTGACTTAACCCACTGAGAACAGAGTCTTGTTCAATTTTATGGGAATTTCAACAAGTAACCAATACAGACGACTCTCCCCTCCTCTTTCCCCCTCCCACTGGCTGTCAATCTCTCTCACACGCTGGTCTGGAGCCCAAGGACCCCTGCCCTACTGTCTGTTCTCCTCTCCTCCTTGTCCTGCTGACCATCCTCCTTGGGACAGGCTCTATTCAACTTGAACCCAGCTCTAGTCTTTGCAGCCCTCACAAAACAACACTCTAGGAAAAAAGCAAAATCACTTGTGAAAGAGACTCCTGACCCTCCTCCCACTACTCCACTCACCAGGCACACGAACAAGCCCCCAGAAATCCTGGGGTCTGGAAGCTTGACCCTTTGCCTTGGAGAGGCCTACAACTGCCCAGCCCGAGCGTCTGGCCTCCGCGCTCCTGCCCGCTGGCCTCCCAAGCCCACCTTGCTCTGGCGCCTAGCAGGACCTCCAGGCCAATCTGGGAAAACTGGGGAGGCGATGGCAGGGTCCACGACCCAAACACACTGTCCATTCCTCCCTTGCCGTCTTGCTCTCACCTCGCTCTTGAATATTATTTCCCTTTTTTGTCGTCTCCCAGGCGGGCGGGCCTGAGTCGTGGGCTTCCGTGCGCGGGGACCTGGTTCCCAGTGTGCATCCCGCAAAGCCGCGGACCCCCGAACCTGGAAGGCCTGGGGAGGCCAGGAGGGGCCACGGCAGTGGGCGGAGGACCTCTGATCAACACCCCTCCACACACAGCTCAGTCCTCCCACGCGGTCCGGTGACCGCGGCCAGTGGTCCTCAGCAAGGCGGCAGGCGGCGTGACCCGCCCGGCCCCGCGATGTTCACTAGCCCTAGGAGCCTTTCAAGTGAGAGCCTGGGCTTTGCGGCCCACCGTGGCCTTGGGTCAGTGAGCGCTCGCTCTCCCGCCCGACCCGCTACTGTGGTCCCTGAACCCGCGCTACCACAGGCTTTGGGCGGCGAGCGAACGCACCTGAGTACGGGTTGGCGCGGGTCACGGGCTGTTTTCCTAGGGTGGTCAGCTCTGGTTAATCTAGGTGCTGGTGGCCGTCAGGTAGGACGAGACCCCGCCACCGTGCAGCTTGATCGCTCTGTAGGCGCCCGGGAGACGTGAACGAGGCCCAAGCCTCGCTGGCTGAGAGCGCGGTTTTCTTCTGCACAAAAACCGAATTCGGGCTGGCACGAAGGTGCACCTTAGGCTGCCCACACCACTGGGGTGACTAGAAGACATCCTGCAAACCGGCCTCGTCCAGCCTGGCGCCGAAAGCAGCCGGGCTGGAGAGATGCAGGGACCCGGGACGCCCCAGGCGGATTGCACCGGGGGTCGAGAGGCGCCGAGAAAGCAAAAGCAAAAGTGGGCAGTGAGTCGACGCCAAGAGGAGCCCTGCAGGAGCTGAATGCAGACTTTCCCCAGCCTCTGCCGGCCGGGCTCCCGCAGCGACTCCCGGCGCTGGTGGTGCCTTGGATCTAAGAGCATCCCTGGCTCCGTGAAGTCCTGGTTTTTTTAGACGAAGCCTCCGGGCGATAGGCACCCGCTTAGATTCCCGCACAGCGGAAGAGAGGGCTGCGATTTTCACAGCCCCCTCCCTTTCTCTTGCGATAGGGTTATTTTCTATCATTCTCGTTTGGCACAGGCATACTTTGCTTCCTGCGACTCTGACCCGGCCACTTAGTTGGAAAATAAGGCTCAAAACAAGAGATGCGGTGGCAGTGATGTTCTGGGACAGCATGCATGGTTCTCCCTGCAGCCAGGATTCTGGGCCTGGAGGGAGCAGTCCAACCTTGCTCATTCTGAACAAAGCGAAGGCAGAAACCTTAGAGAGGGAAATGGGAAATCAAGAATACAAGACAACCCACCCCGCCCCAACCCATCCCCAAGATTTTTGCTCTGCAACCAAAACATGATTCCACAGTTACTGGGACCCACTGTTTGAAATTTCTACACACTGCCAAACACAGGTTTTCTCTACCAGTTTCATAGCAATGTACTGAAAGGCACACCAACAGGTTTTGTACCCTGAGCCAAAATGAGACGCATTAAAGTGAACTTTTAAAAATAATACACCCCACCATCAGCTGGATGACACTGTCTCTGAAGTTTCTTTTCTCCTTTCTTCTTTCAGTGGGACTGCCCCGTTACCAGCATCATTCTACTCCAGTGTGTGACAGAAAAGATTTTGTCCTCAATTTCAATGGCATTTCTTCTTTCCACCCCTCAGCCAGTGGGTCTTACTATCACCATCACCACCAGAGCGTGTGCCAGGATATTAAGCCCTGCGTTATGTGAAGGGACAGAGGCCACTTGGAGGCCTCTCTCCCCTCTCCTCTTCATGAGGGGCAGATGGGAACTGTGATGGACTCACACAATGTGCACTTGGAAAGCAGTAAGTAGCACACTCTCACTTATCGAGAATGCCAGGGAAAGCCCTGCTCACCTATATCTGCCTACCATTGCAAGAGGGAAGCCTGCAAGGTAACGCCCCAGACAAGGGAGAGAGTGACATGGTAAAAAGTTACCACCACACGTAAAAGCTAAACTTGCAACTCTGGGATTGTCATTGCCTCCAATAGTCAGGGTCTGAAAGAAACAGACAAGCTGTGTGTCTCTGTGTTGTTTTTTTGTTTGTTTGTTTGTTTATGAAAACGTGTGCTTTTCAAAAAGGCAGTGCTAAGCACAAGACTTCAAAATAGCCTCAATCTGCCTCCTCAGTCAGAACTGTTTCCCCCAATCGCTCCGTTTGGATACAGGTGCCAAAGAAATGATCTAGAACCGATGAGTCTCGCTTAAGAATGTGACTCTCAGTATTGTGACAATACATTTTTATAAGGTTGTTTTCTACACCGTATTTTAAAGATATTTTTATGATCTTCGTGTATACTCACACTTTGCTTGTATTTTAAAAGGAGGATATATTTGCACTTATGTATACTTTTACAGTTTGCCAAAACATTTTGATGTAAATTTTTTTCAATAAAATGTATATAACAAATAGTTGTTTTGGGGACCTGTTTCCTCTACAGGAGTGCAACTCTACACTGCCCACCCCCATCTTGTCTAATTGACACGGTGTGAGGTCTGTGCCTTGGGTAACACAGGCCAGATTCTGATGTGGATCTTCTCAGGAGAGAAAAGAAGAGAGAATGCTTTCTGTTATTTCTCTATTTCACCCTCACTTTTCCTGACCAAACAAAAAACAGAAGGAGAAAAGAACTTAAAAGAAAACCAGGCAAGATAATGAAAGGCAAGGTCTGATGCAAGGAAACTTTTGTGCCCCTTTTGTCTTCTTTCCTGTATCCCCCGAAGACTTCTGCCCTCTGCTCTTTTCTCTTTCCCATCAGCACTGGCAACAGATGTGGGGACCTCACCGGCAAATCACCACAGAGTCTGCGTGGGCTGGGCTTGGCACCAGTGAGGGTAAAGTGCACAAAGAGCAGAACCCTGCACCCCCTGCACAGGTAACAGTTCCATGGTGCGTAGTGGTCAGATCAGCAGGGCCCCAGGGGGAAGTTCAGTGCCTACAAAACACTCTGAGAGAGCATGGGACTCCAGCTCCACACAGGGTCCCCCTCTTGGATTCCTTCACCCTGTTTCCTTTCTTGCTGGGTTTCCCAATCATGGATGCTGCACACAGAGCTGGGGAAGCCAGAGATTAGAGAAAATAGACCAAAGAGGAGAAAGGTCCAGCCCACTCTTCTATCTGACCACCCTTCAAACTCTGAGCAGTTGGCAACTTAGAGATCTGAGCAGGAGCAGGGAATCCTCACCACAGTCAACCTAGGGTTATTGCTCATTCCAACAAGCAGTGCAGTACAGTGGGTTTTGTTTTTGCTTTTGCTTTTTTGAATGGAAACCCACATTTGTTTCTGGTCCCCTAAAAGGCCTTCTACCCAGTCCATCACCAGGCACTTGCTACAGCTCAGGAGATACCTGACAGGTTGGATTTTGTGCTCCAAGTGAATTTCAACCCAGAGATGGGCTCCTGGGTAAAACATCTTGTTTTGAAAAGTCTTAACCATCTTCCTAATCTTTAGGCTTCCTTCTTATATTTTCCAAAATTAAGCAGTGATGTAAACATTTTTATCTCCCTATTATCATATTTGCAGTTAAATAGAGCCCCCTTTCTTTTTCTTTTTTCTTTTTTCTTTTTTTTTACTGAGCTACTCCGGGGCCTGCTATAAATTATGAAGTCAGTCTCAGAGTTTGCTCCGACCACAGTGCTGTGTTTACATTCCTTCCGAGGCAGCCGGCATGGTCGTAATTTATATCCTAAACACTTGAACGTAACTTGTTTATACAGAGAATGACAGGACCCCAAAGACAAAAACTCCGCCGGGCTGACTGACCATATCGGGAGGGCCAGCGCGCCCCCTGGTGGCCCGAGGAGACCAGCGCATGGGGATCTGGGATCTGGAAAGAAACACAAGAACTTTACAAAATGACCGTCTGCGGTACTCAGCAAAGAAGACATTTAAAATATCTTACTTAATTTAGGAACTATGTTTTCCAGTTTTAGGGGAGACCTTTGCTTTTCTCTATTTTATTCTTTCTACCTGCTGTCGCATCCTGAGCCTTGATCAAGATTCATTAACAGTCCTGATTGTGTTTAACAGCAGTAAAATCCTGATTTGCCACTTTGTACCTCATTGCTAGATTTCGTTTCAACTAAAGACATTATTTTGTTTCCTTTTTAGTCAAAATTGCTTCTCTCCTAACTGCCCCTCCCTCTTTTATTATTGAGGAGTAGTTCATAGCTTTAAATGGTGCTGGAATATTACTAACAAATTACTAAAAATAAGTGAAGTGCTACATGTAGTGCCTTTAGAGGTGAAAAATAAATGTACTAACTCAGCTGAGGGCAAATACCTGCACTGTGTGTGTGTGTGTTGACTGGAACCCAGGACCTTGCACATGCTAAGTACACACTCTACCTGGAGCTACACCCCAAGCCCATGTCTCTACTGTTTTATTGAATGTATTTTTGAAAACTTAGTTTCTGTTCATTGACAGAATAAAAAGCTATATAAAAAGACACTTGATTATATTGGGAAAGAAATGCTAGTTTTGGTTTGTTTTTAGTTAGAACTGTATAAATACAGAAGAAAGAAACCAGGTAAATACTGAGATTTCGCCAAACGCTGGGCACTGTGCTCATCTTACTAAACCTTGTGTTGGTATCTTAGTTAATTCTTCCAGTTGCCTTATGATGCAGGGTGTGCTGGTCAGCTTCCACCCTTGTAACAAATACCTGAGATAATCAACTTGTGAAGAGGAAAGGTTTATTTTGGCTCACAGTTTGGGAAGTTTCAATCCATAATTGGTAGGGCCCATTGCTCTTAGGCCTGTGGTATGGCAGCACACCACAGCAAAAGTTGATTGTGGAAGTGTGATAGAGCAAACTACTCACCTCAAGTCCAGAGAGTTAGAGAGAGAGGAAATGGGGCAACTCTCACAATCTGCTCTGAGGGCAGGCTCCCCATGGCCTAAGACCTCCACTTCGGCCCCGCCTCTTAAAGGCACCACCATGGATTTGGGCTTATTCCATGCATTCCCTGGCATTGCCTAGGAGAACCTCAGATTTGACACATTGCAGACCCAGGGGCAGTGGAGGTCTTCACTTGGAAGCAGTGGTTCCCAAACTTGAGTGTGCCCTCTAGGTCATCCTGGTACACACCAGAAAATAGGATCTCCTCATTTTTACTCAGAGACATGAGGGCATTAGTTTTATCCCAGTCAACATTGCAAAACAGACTCAGGTGGCATCACTACAGTCCTGCCCGCTTCAGGGCAGTAAGTGGGAGTACCTACAAGCAGCAAAGTCAGGGTTCTCCTAACAGAGAGATGGCTCAGGAAAAAATTCCCTTATTGGTTGTAAAAGCTTCTGAGTGTAAAGCAGAAAGGAGGCTGTGATATCCAGAACAGCACTAGCAATCCCTAAGTACAAAAAGGGAGGGAGGGAGAGAGACAAAAAGAGGTGAGGAAGGGAGAGGGAAAAGGAAAGAGGGAGAGCATGAAAGAGTGGGGAGATAGAGAAAAGAAAAAGTGAGAGAGGAGAGAAAGAAGAGGGAGATACAGAAAGAAGGAAAGAGAGAGGCGACAGGCAAGAAGTGAGAGGGGAGAAAGAATAGAAGGGAGAGAAAAAAGGAAAAAGAAGGAAAGAGAAAGGGAGAGATAAAGAAGGGGGAAGAGAAGCAAGGGAAGCAGGAAAGGAATAGAGAGGTCTGGAGTTCCTCCTCAGGCCATATAGAAAGCTCCTGCTGAGTGAACAGCAGCCCTAAAAGGGCTCTTGTCCCCTGAGTCTACCACTGTCTCGGGTCTACAGTGCCAATACTTTGGCTGAAAGGCCTGTGCACTCCTGTTTTACTTGGCTTCTGCCTGGACTCTGGAGAAGTAAGTGAACTCTCTAGCTGGACAAGCTCACATTTTCTGAACTGCTCCAGCAACTTTGAGGGAATTGAAGAATAACCTTGACTTACACTGTAGAAATTTCAGGCTGAGCTATGCCACTGTATGGCATGACATGGAATTAGCAAGTTCCTTCTGAAAGAAAAACTTTCCAGATTTGTGTATACCTAATTAATGTGCATCATGGTGATTAATTCAAAACAGGCACAGACTTATTTAGAATGGAAATGTATTTTAATATATTTTATCAGAGCGGAAATACATTTTTACCAAATCTGCCTCTATGAAACACTATCTGAGCAAGGGAAAATACCACAAATGGAGAGACTGGGCCAGAGAGGGCCACAGCACACAGAAGGCAAGATCACTGGGGGAAAATGAAAGTCCTGGAAGTTCTTTTGGAGTTCAGAGTATCCTGAGGCCACAGCAATCCAACCTATAAATATTCAGCTCTCTGGGGGATCTGTATGATATATGCATGATATGGAACCTTGTCCCTCTCATGACTGAATTTGCACCCTCCTTGGTATAAATGTATTCATGAGAGAACCAAAAAGAGTTCTGAGTAGCAGCAGGGTGCAGTGCCCTCCACAGCTGTCCTTCTAGATGGCCCCATCCCACCCTTCATCCTGATGGACACCTAGGAGCCTGGCCACCAGCTGGGCAGCAACTCTGACTGCCAGCAAGGTACTTCCCCCCAAAACCCGCAGAACACCTCCACCATCCGGAATCACAGCTTGTTCTTCCTGTGCTAGGAATGGAACCCAGGGCCTCGTTCATGTTAGGCAAGGACTCTGCCACTGAGCCATAACCTCAGCCCCCTACAAATTGCTTTTAATTGGGTCAAGTTCAGCCCAGAACCAGGGTTAGGAAGTGCTGCTTCC